GTTTTAATCCCCTGAAGTCATACGATATTATACAATTATAGCCTTTGTATGAGGTCGATACGAGGATATATCGACCTGAGAGAAGTATATTGGCCAAGGACGAAGTCGTCGGTCTTCGTCCTCGGTCAGTATACTTCTTTGTGTTGATATGTCCTCGTATCGACCTCGTACAAAGGCTGCAATTGTTATATTGTTATTGTCAATAAGTCAGAAGTGGAGCACCAACTCATTTGATTGGTAGTTTTAGATTGTGTCAAATATTATAAAAAATATTTAACTCGGTGCCTCATAACAGTATTAAATTATACATGCGCTACGCGCATTCGTGAAATAATATATTGTTCGGTCACTATTTGAATATCTTTCTAACTTGAGTTCTCGGATTGATTTTTTTTTTTTTTTTTTTTGATAATCAACTGTTGTCTTTTTCACAGTAAGGAAGCTTGTCTTTGCTCTTATTCCTAAATAATGCAAAGAAGCATAAATACTATGTGTTTGCAATGGTTGGAACCGACCGGGGCTCGAACCAACGACCTTTCGCACTCCAGGTATGAACGCAACCACGAAACAATCGAGGAAATATTTGAAAATTACAAATTCCTTGTACATATTAAAAGAAAAGGTGCTATTGTTTTTTTTCACATTAACAAAATCGCGGCTTTAAATTCATAAAAATAAAACTTTATAAAATTTGCAATTGCTACGTCCGGAGCGCATTTCTGTATTTTTGTTCCCTCAAAAACTCTCAAAACTAAACAATTGAAAGCCAAGGATATAAAATACTCGAAGAGCTATATGCTTAAAGGGTACATAAAAAAGAATAAACAAACCCATCGAAAGTCAACTTTGCCTGAGGGAGTTGGAACCTTAGTTTTTTAAGCGATGAATTGTTAAGCTTTCACCTTGCAGTAAGACCATACACCTTATCGAGGTTTGTATTGGGTATATTGGGATACGGGATTTTTGCCATTTTAATTTTAGGGATATGGGATATTTGTCCTAAACATAAATGGGATACGGGATATTGATGCATTTTTAGGGATATTGAATTCTCTGGAGGAAATGTCTCAGCCCAAAGATGTAAAGCTTTCAGACACAAACATAAATGCAATGAGAGAATGGAAAGTAGAAAATGGACAGTGTTTTCGCCAGTTAAGGGTAAGACACATGAGCACCAAAGACCACCTAGGAACTCTTCCTTTGAATTGTTATTTAAGGAAACCTCCAGACGTTCATGAGCTAAAGTTTTCAAAATTAAAAGTGGATGTACAAGAAACTGTAGGTACTACAGTTGATATCCAGGAAACCAGAAATGTAATCTATAGCAAGGGATCAACAGTGTGTGTTTTTAAACGTGATATCAAAGGTCTACCATCTAGTACTTTTTACATTGTCATCACGTCAGATTGCTATAAAATGCCTGATGATGCCAAATTTGTTTCGGGAAACTGGTTTGCTCAGGACAAAATCCACCCACTTGATTTCGTTGAGAGTACTACAGAGACATCAGAGATCATCAGAAACATTTATAGTAGAGAGTGTTATCGAAATTTTACTATTAGATGACTTTCAAGCTTAAGACGATGTAATAGTAATTTCTGAAGATTCCTATTATGCATGCACGACAAAAGTGTGTATAGGATCAGATATGAATGATGTCACATTACGAGGAGAGGTGGAGATGGATTTAGAGGAGGAATCTGCAACTAATGATGCCCGTTTACCCACGAGAGGAAAGAGGAAGCGAAAACCTCGATCTGACAATGACTTCATGTTTTACTGATTTAGTGATAATTACTGTTAAATAACATGCTTATCTCTACAGTAACTTTTTATTTATCCACTGATGTTACAAACGCTTAATTATATATTGGTTATTCCAAAGACATGTAGATTAAAATTTAAAGGTCTCTGGTTAATTCTGAATGATTAACTTTTCTCTGCGAAAAAGCCCACATCCTTACTACAACACATACAACATGTATTTACGAATGTTGTATACAAAAATGGGTTTGGGAATGAATTAATGATTTTTTGGGATATTTCAAAATAGTTTTAGGGATATAGGGTAGTTGTAAAAAATAATTATTGGGATATTAGGGGTAAACATTATAGAGATATGGGATGTTGGGACAAAAACTTAATGGGATATGGGATATTGATACCCCCCTAAACAAGCCTCCTTATCGCTATTTAGTCCAATCCGGAAAAAAACAGTCACTTATACAACTTCCTGTTTTGGTCAAGTCTTGCAAAAACTAAGGTCATCAGAAAAGAGATGAGGGAAGAAAAAGTTTAGAACGCGAACATTTTGAAACTTTGATAGATTATGATCCACTTTTTAAAAACACAAATTAAAGTAATAAAAATGCTTAGTTTGAAGTGTTCACGATGGTTTAAACATTTCTCTTTGAAAAGTTTCATGCATAATACATTGTTTAAACACGGCCCAAGATAGCTTCAACTGGAGGGAAAAAGTTGTGTAATTTTAGAACTTATCCGGATTTGAATAAATAGCAATAAGGTGTATTGCAATCGTTAGATAAAAATTGCGTTCTATCCGCTTTACATGAATGTGTATGAAATGATCATACCTAAAAGCAATAATTCAATACCGCTGTGTTGCAATAACAAGATAATGTTTATCGATATCGACTTCATGTATTTGTGAAGGAACATATTAATAGTTACATAGTGTGGTAACCCCATATGGAGTTTACTGACCCTATATATATTGTATTAGGTCACTAGCACACTGTGTTACGAATTTATCTTACCTACTATCTTAACATGTGGCATTTAGACTAGTGACTTGTTACAATTACTTGACAAAGCATTTTTTTACTGATGTTCTTCATCTCAAAGTTACGTCCACACCTCGCCACAATTTTCAGACGGCGTCTAGGACCGGTTTGAGCTCCAATATTTGCTAGATGACGTATTCGTTTAAAAAAAATAAAAGAAGAATGTGTCCGAGGACACGAATGCCTCCGCTAAACCTTTGCAATTTTCAAAGTTAAGAAGGGGCATAACTCTAGAACGGTAAATGACTCACTGCCCAAATTCGAAGTATGTCTGCATGTTATGGTTCTTAGCACTGTGTAAAAGTTTCATAAACTTGAATGAGTCACACTTATGAAAGAGTGCAGAAACGAACAAAAAATGCAATTTTCAAAGTTATAAAGGAGCGTACCTCTAGAATGGTAAGTAACTCACTGCCCAAATTCGATCTTTGTCTGAGAGTTTTAGTTCTTAGCTTTTTGTATGGGTTTCATAAAATTTGGATGAGAAGACTTTAGTTAGAGGGCGGAAACGAAATAAATTGCAATTTTCCAAGTTAAAAAGGAGCATAACTCTAAAACGGCAAGTAACTCACTGCCCAAATCCGAACTCTGTCTGCGAGTTTTGGTTCTTAGCATTGTGTATCAGTTTCATAAAATTTAAATGGGGAAAACTTAAGTTAAGTGCGGAATCTAAAATGGGACAGACGGACTGAAGGTCAAGGGTAACACTTAATGCCCCCATTGCCTACGGCTGGGGCATAAAAATGACATTAATTTGATATGTACATCAAAATGTGCAATGAACAGACATTACCGGTCAATCAATTCGAATTGAGTACTAGACGTATCTAACTGTAGGATTTAGAAGATGATCAAAATCATTTGTTAACATCAAGATGACAAGATCGTTAAATAAAAGGTGGATTTAGGATGTTTGATTATGAATATGCTGTTAACTTTAGTTATCAATATCATTTGCAATTGGTAATCCCTCTGACTTTTCCCTAGATGATGCAATTAAAAGTATGACTCAGCTTTCACTCTATTTCTCAAAGTATTTTGCGAAAACTAAACTACATCTTTGGTAAAATATATCATTTGAAAATTTTTCTTTCTTGTTATATATTTTTCTTTCAGGTTATGATTCATTTCTTTCATTCCATTTCATTCAAATGAGATTATATTAAAAAAGGGAAGATGGGGTATGATTGCCAATGAGACAACTCTCCACAAGAGACCAAATGACACAGAAATTAACAACTATAGGTCACCATACGGCCTTCAACAATGAGTAAAACCCATACCTCATAGTCAGATATAAAAGGCCCCGAAATGACAAATGTAAATCAATTCAAACGAGAAAACTAACGGCCTATGTCAATTTTCTCTGTCTAAAAAAAAACTCATTTCCAATTTGTTCATATCTCAAAAACAATTACCATAAACAGATAATTATTATTTGTATGTATTAAACATTATATTTATTTATTAAGAAATACGTCGTTAGTAAAATAGTTGTTTGTAAAAAATCCATCAGCGTGTTTCATTTAAATGGAGCAAACACTGACAGAGCTCTATTCCATAATTGGTTAAAACTAATTATGTTTACTTATATGCATGTTTTCATGTCGTAATTGGTATTAGTCATCGGAAATCAAAATTCTGAAAACTCGACAAAAAGTTGATGCAATGTAATTAATTCTCCACTAATTGGGTTTTTTGTTGGACATTGCACAACGTACCAAATGTATTGACACGTATTAAATGTACTTGCATTATCTTAAATCGATTTGGTATATGGGCTTTTAACGTTGACAATGAAATTGATGTCCGGTACCACTTTTTCTAAGGTGCACTTTCTGTAAACTAACTAAAACAAAATCAACAAATAGATATTTCCTTTGTATTGTGGTAAGTTTTCAACAAATTAATGTCATACAGGTAAAAAAATGACGAAACACAACTCTTAACAGCATGTCTTGTAGTATATCGAATCGAAATTGATTCCATGCCGGTGGTTAACCGTATGAGAAAAACCCAAATAATTTCGCTATTACAAGGTAAATACAAACATAGTATAACTCTAAGAGAGTTACAATCTTTTAAATTTTTCCGGATGAGCTATAATTGTTCCAGATATAGATTTATTGTACATATAATTTGATTTGACAAATACATGTATATAAAAAATGTCAAAATAATATTTTGTCCTTTCATTCAGCATTGTCCTGTTATTTCAATTGCATCAATTTCATAATCAACGTCTGTATTTGTTGTATCGATCTCGATGTGAACTTCATTTGCAGGAAAGGTAACAGTCTGAAACAAACATTATTTAAAGAATTTATACAGTTTTATTCAATTTACGAAATATGTAGATGACCGTGTCACAAATCGATTTTAAGCTCGACGTATGGGTCAATATGCGCAATTCATTTCAGGTAGGCGGTAATGGTAGCATTTTCTGTAATTCCTCTGCCAATACCGTAAACTTGGATATGTATAATGGTTCGTTTCGAAGTTGAGATATTTTCAAATACGTGGTTATATTTTCATGATACTAATTGAAATCCATTTTCCATAATTCTAAATATCCGAAAAGCCCTTTGTGATGCGGATTCTCGGGTTAAAAATCCTTGTTTGAAATCACAAAATGTCCAATACCACTGCACAGAGATTTTTTGTTTACATACTATATATTAGTTCAGGTGACATGGGTTGGAAGCCTCCATATGTTAAACAGTGGTCTAACATTTTAAGACACTGGGCAAGATGTACAAAAATGGATAAAGACAGGATAAATTATAAAGGATTTATATGGTCAATTAGAAAAAGTAGTTATAAAATTAAAAATTGGAGTTATAAAGTTATAGATATGTTGAAACTTTACAATATGGACAGATTTTGTAATGTAGATGATTATATACTGGATAAAAATATAATTTATCAGTTAGAAGTTAATATTTTTGATAATTATAAAACTGAATGGAGTACAAGGCTTGATTCTTATGGTCAAGGAAATAAGTTGAGAACTTATAAATTGTTTAAATTTTCATACTCTACTGAACAATATTTGTTGCAAAATATACCTATTCGATATCGCAGTGCATATGCGAAATTTAGATGTGGAGTAGCACCTTTAAAAATTGAAACTGGTCGTTACGAAAGATTAGATTTAGATAAAAGATTATGTTTCAATTGTGATGATATAGAAGATGAAAAACATGTACTGTTAACATGTCCATTATATGAAGATTTAAGGCAGTCTTTATTTATTGATATAATTCAACATAATAATATGTTTTTAACTTTGTCAGATGATGAAAAATTTATATTTTTGTTTAAAAATGAAAATGTTTGTAGTTCTGTTGCCAAAACCTGCCATAATATTTTATTGCGACGAAATAGTATCTTATACTGTTAAAAAATCATTGTTATTTTTTTTTTTTTTTTTTTTTATGTACATGTAACAGGTTTTATCCCTGAATGTGCATGGTGATATTGCACTTTTATGTTTTGTGTAAATAACAAAATTATGTTTTAATTCTGTTGTTTTATAATTGAATATAACAGTCTCTCATAGTTCTTTTAAGAATGGCACATGCGTTCTAAATTTTTATATTGTGTACTTGATATTATAATGTGTTTATACTTGTTTGTATGTGGTGAGACTTTAATAAACTATTGAATCTGAATCTGAATCCTAAATTTAAAAAATGTTTAAGGTGCATTAGGGATATTGATCCATATAATTAAGATACTAGGGCTGATATGCATAAACCCACTTAAGTTAAGATATCCAATCGAAGTACTAATTTATCGTAGGACATGTAGAAAAATCCATCCATTCGGAACAAATCTTAACTAAGGTAGTTTTATGCGTATCAACCCCACTTATTATTGGAGAATGTATGTTGAAGTTTAGATATAAACAGGCTATTTGTCGCAGAATCATTGACAGATACACAATATTATCACCTTTTATTATCTGTAATATTTTGAACTATGGAAATATACTCATATTTAAATTTTTATCTATTTCTTGCAAATTATTAAATTAAATTTTCAGTCGATATATAGCCGAAACCTGACTGAATAAAAAACAAGAGGCTCATGAGAGCCTGATATCGCTCACCTGGAATTTCAGTTTCAGGCATTTGACTTATTTGTAGATCTTACTTTGCTGAACATTTTTGTCTTTTACACTTTCTCTCTTTCTATAATAATATTAAAGATAATACATAACCCAAAACTGTAAAATTTCCTAAAAATTAACTCATTCTGGACAGTAACCCATCAATAAGTTGTCCTATTGGTCTGAAGATTACTTGACAGGTAGATCTAAACCTGTTTAACACTTTCACCTATGTCAGTTTTGCTCTTACTACTTTAGTTTTTGAGATGAAAGCCAAAAACTTCATTTGGCCCCTATGTTCTATTTTTAGAAACTGCCGCCATGTTTTTGAATGGATCTCATCCCCGAATGCAATCTATAAACTAGATACCCAAAGGAACATTTAATTAAAGTTTTTAAGTATTTGGCCAAGTAGTTTCAGAGAATATTTTTGAAAAAGTAATTAGACTTTCACAAAAAATGTTAAAAAAAAAAAAGTTTTAAGGGCAATCACTCCTTAAAGGGACACTAGCTGTCAAATTCATGTTCCCCGATTTGACTCAAATTCTCATAATGGATTTATAATAATGTAAAACATTTATCCAAATTATAAAAAGTCTAAAATAAACAATTTACAGGAAATGGGCTCGATAATATGTAGCTTCGTTTCGTGTGTATTTTAGTCTAGACGCAATCTAATTAACTATCGAGATGACCCCGAAAACAACCGACGGTCACATAACACGATATACACATAAATACAAATAGATATATGGACCTCGTGCAAATGGATTTTTCTTTGTCTGTTTGATTTCAATTTTAAGATTAAAGATATAAGTTCATTTTCGATTTTACCTGTATAAGAAATTCTGAATGATTTTTTGTGGATCGAATCAGTCAATCAAATGATTTACCTTTGTTTCATTTTCAATGTTGACATTCTTTTCTTGTAATAGCCTAACACGCATCAATAATGCATACTCAATCTCTAACTAAGGGATTAAATTGAAATCACATGAATACGGATTCAATGAGGTCGAATTATTCACTTGCAAGTGATTAATTCATCATCGATGTTTCTTAGCCTATTTTGACAAAATTGAACCATACTGGCTGCTAATAGCGAATTACTTTTTCACTATTTCACTTTCATTAATGATTGAACAAAAAAAAATCATAAATTAATATTTTTTATGTATCTCGTAGCTAGTGCCCTTTAAGGGGTAAATTGACTATTTTGATCATGTTGACTTATTTGTAGATCTTACTTAGCTGAACATTTATTGCATTTATGCTTTTTCTCTATCTATTATAATATTAAAGAAAATAACCAAAAAAAGTAAAATTTAATAAAAAATAAAATATGTCCAACAGAAACCCAACAATGGGTTGTCGAACTTGTCTGAAAATTTCATAGCAGGTAGTTCATGATCCATTTATCACTTTCACTCCTCTCACTTTTGCTCTAACTGCTGTAGTTTTTGAGATATAAGCCAAAAACTGCTTTTGTCTCCTATGTTCTATTTTTAGCCATGGCGGCCATGTTTGTTGATGGATCAAAACTTCGGATACACTTTACAAACTAGATACCCTAAGGAACATTCAATTAAAGTTTGTAAGTATTTGGCTTAGTAGTTTCAGAGAAGAAGATTTTTGAAAAAGTAAAAGACTTGCACGAAAAAAGTAAAAAATAAACGTTTCAAGGGCAATAACTCCTTAAGGAGTCAATTGACTATTTGATCATTTGACTTATTTGTAGATCCTACTTAGCTGAACATTTTTGCCATTTACACTTTCTCTCTATCTGTTATAATATTAAAGGTAATAACCAAAATCAGTAAAATTTCATAAAAATAAACTATTTCTGGACAGTAACCCAACAATAAGTTGTCCTATTGACTTTTTTGTAGATCCTATTTCGCAGAACATTGTTGCTGTTTACAGTTTATCGTTATCTTCAATAATATTCAAGATAATAACCAAAAACTGCAAAATTTCCTTAAAATTACCAATTAAGTGGCAGCAACCCAACAATGGGTTGTTTCGTTTGTCTGAAAAATTCAGGGATGATAGATATTGACCTACTGAACATTTTTACTACATGTCAGATTTGCTCTAAATGCTTTAGTTTTTGAGATATAAGCCAAAAACTGCATTTGACCCCTATGTTCTATTTTTAGCCATGGCGGCCATGTTTGTTGATGGATCAAAACTTTGGATACAATTTATAAACTAGATACCCTAAGGAACATTCAGTTAAAGTTTGATGGTATTTGGCTCATTAGTTTCAGAGAAGATTCTTGAAATAGTTTACGACGACGACAGACGACGGACGACGACGGACGCCAAGTGATGGCATAAGCTCACATGGGACTCTTTAGGCCCGGTGAGCTAAAAAACAAAAATATCAAAGGATCAATCGAATTCATAATTCCAGAAAAACAGACAACACCATACTAAAACATAAAAATGATGAGAAATTCAGAGAAGAAAGAAGACAAATAACAAGACAGAAAATCAAAGATTGAGTAACACAAAACAAAAATCGGGTTGAACTCAACTTCTCAGGAAGGGTAAGGTTCCTAATCCACAGCCTTTGTATATTCTATGTAGGTAAACTACCTGTGATAACTGGGAAGTCCCATTTGGTGCTGAGTAGCCATAAATTTTCCAATTAATCAATGACTATTATGACGTGGTCTACTATCGCGGAGTTTAAAGTTCGATATTTCAAAGGCTATACATATTTCCAACTACTTCATGTTAAAAATCAAAGTCTATAATTATTTATATAATATAGAAAATGAACATAAAGAACAAGTACCTAAAAAATTCAGCCTTTCAAAGTGGGATAATAACAAACTGAAGATGTACAAAATAAAACACTTTGAAATTTACCTGAATTGGAGGAGAAAAAATCCTACTACTTCTCACAGTGGGTAAAGTAGATCCGTCAACTTCCCATACAGTCTGCCAACTCCCATTTGGGGCTTTAAAACTTATTCTCCAAATCGATCCCCCATTATATGTCTCATAGATATTAATACTCTGAATATATATTTTCTTCGAATATTGAATCTGTAAAACAAAATGTAATATCGTCACATCAGTACATGCACATGCAATTTTTATACATCAAAATCAAAACCGGGCAAAAGACGCACAAACAACTACGGTGAAGAGGTTTAAGTTTTTAATTGATCAAGGTCATCTGAAGGTCAATATTTGAATTTGTTTGCATGCAAAACAATCAATTTGGAACTCTAACCTCTTCATCGTGGTTTCTTGCTTTCCCTTTTAAAAATGAAAGTGCAATAGTGCAGTCAAATGACTGGGTGCGTTTCATGCTAAATGAATATCATACTTTATGAACATAACATTCACCATTCAGATTACCAAGATGTAACCTTTCTAATAGTGCATTTGTTTCTAACCCAAAATTTTGTCATCGATGACTATCGTTTTGTAAACGTTAAGCTCCTCGAAACAAATACATCGTTAAGGTAAGGAACTTTATCGGCCCCGCGTAGTAAGACAGAAACAGATTACATACACGCACTGTAAACAAACAGGTAAAAGTGCGAGAAATGAATGACAAGGACTTTGCATAAACAACACGTACTCGTAATTTATTAAAAGACAGATGCAGAAACAAATGTATCGTTTACACGTCTCAACGATAAACGATCAACGACTACGCAACTATTTTGCGCGTATATACATCGTTTATGTGAATGTCAACGTTGACAAAAAATGTAAGAAATAAATGGATCTAAAGACTACGCGCGTAATCGTTTACATCGTTTAGGTTAGAAACAAATGCGCTCTAAATATCGATGTCGTCAAAACTAAATCCAGTCAAAGTTGAAGGTGTGATAAGGCCACATATTTTACCCCTCAATTTGAAAATCCGGAAAGTAATATAAATCTTTCAAATTAAGATGTTCACAATCATTTGAAATCTTGTCTCATCTATTTGCCTGAATATGAGCAACAACTTTATTCAAAAACATATTTTGCAATAAGATAATTTACATAAAACTGTTAACACCATATAAAATATATTTTGGGATAAGGCTCTGGCTTAGCAGTAACTTTGATACAAGCTACACGATGACCATCAAATATATCGATTCCAACATGTTTATGGTATTTTTACAATGTTATTAGAAGGTGAAACAAAGCTCTTACTTTACCAACTCCTTTCTCAATTCAAACCGAAAGATGCGATTGTTTAAAAAAAAATAAGCAAGTGAAATTGATCCATTTTAAAACTCCTCATAGTATATATATTTTTTATAGACTTTTTATTTTCAATTTTTTTATTTCATCAATATCAATATACTAACATTTTGATAATAAACGTGGCGAGGATACTCTATTCTGAAACACATGCAATATAAATACATATAAAAAAACGAGTCTACCAATAAATGCAATACCGTTATATAATGATCAGAAGCTGCAGTTTTCATGCACCAAGCTCCTTCTATGTCACCATATCGTGGATACACATCAGGCGCTCCTATAACTTGAGCTGCTGACCATCTATAAATACAAACAATTCATTTTGACAAAAAGTCTGTATTCTCAAGCTGCAGAGGCGGATTTAGAGGGTTTTTCAGGGGGCCCGGGCCCCCCTTTTGGGGAAAAACTTTGGTTGATTATATAGGGAATCACTGAAGCATGACTGGAGCGGGCCCCCTCTTAGGCAGTCAGTGTGCCCCCACTTATGAAAATTTCTAGATCCGCCACTGAGCTGTATTAGTAGACACGAAATAAAGAAGGACTTAGTTTCATTTTGGTATACTGTCATTTACCTTTGTTAAGAGTTTTTAAATACTTCAGATAATAAATTAAAATGGCCGATTGTGTAGCTTGTAGAAGTCACGTGACTTACAAGTTTAATCTTTCCAAAAAGAGTGTGCTTCGCAGTATCAAAAAATAACGTCAGGGCTCTTTTTTTGTTACTTTAACGACAGTTTTCCTATAAACTATCAGAATAGAGTAGAGTTTGGAAACGGGAAGTGTGTCACAGAGACAAAACCCAACCAAAGAGAAGAACAAAGCTCAAGGCTACCAACGTAACGAGAAAATCCCGCCGCCGGAGACAGGCTTCAGCTGGCCCATAAACAATAATGTTTTCTAGTTCTTCAAATTGGACACCTCAATAATCTTCGAAACATATACAAATGAACCAAAATTAATGAAACACACAAGACTAACATGTTCGTATATTTTATTCGGGTGTCACTTTCATTTTAATTAGTCATATGATACAAAATGCGACTTTACAGGCAATAGGCTCCGTTATGAGTATTACGAATAAAGTACTCTAAAAGGAAAATATGACACAAAAAAGTTAAACTTACACATTATTCATAAGACAAAGGAGGTTATTTAGACCTCCTTGGTTAGATTGAAATTTGATACTGTTCATTCTAATTGATTATTTTTACCCTTAAAATTAGATTAATTTATGTCTGTCAGTTGCAAGTAAATTGATACTTTCGACATCATCATGACCAAAGTAGACGGCGAGAGTAACCCATAAATTGATGCTTCAAATTTACCTATAAATAAATGCTTCAAAGATGAATTTGAGCTTTTGATTTTGCCATTTGATAAAGGACTTTCCGTTTTTAGTTTTCCTTTGAGTTCGGAATTTTTGTTATTTTCTTTTATACATCGGATGTGACCTTGAGAGGTCATACCGGTGTTATGTTGCCGCAGAAATTTCTGCACACGTCCTTTGCGCTTTTGACTGATAACCGAACGTATTTCGTATAAATACGCGGATATTATCGAGTGCAAAATAGCATTCCTTATCGCTTGTTATAAATTCATTTCTTCAATGAATACTCATGAAAATATTTTTTAAGAACATAAATAAATAATATGAAAATGTTTTGTCGTGAGAAATATATATATATATATATATAAGTAAAAAAATCATCAATATCTATGCACACGTATCGAAAAGTTGTGGTTCGGATGAATATGTCATTTATATCATGTGTATTGAATACTTATAAGGTGTACATATCTGACTGGCAGGTATCATATTACCGCCTGTCATTTGTTCATCATCCAACATAACTTGCGGTCATCTGATGTTCAGTACTTCAGTACTTTGATTTACCATGTTCCGAGGATTACACATAAAATATTGACGTGATTCGTTTGTGTGTCGATTGTTTTGATGAACTGAGGTTTTGAAGTGCCATTTTCTACCGATACTTCTTAAATTGTCCAAATAATGTGATAGTTTCTTAAATTACTTTTAACAAATAAATGTCTTATAATACCACATCGGCCATCATCAAATAAGAGCACCAGTGACACAGGCTCTTGTTTCTATCCATGGGAATGTCGGCTATCCATATATAATAATAGAATTATATATGGATAGTCGACTTTCCCATGGATAGAAACAAGAGCCTGTGATCAGTGAATAGACTTATTTACTGTTTTAGTATAATATATGTAATGATTGACGATATGATATTGACAATATACACATGATATAGGAAATAATGTGAAAAAATTAAATTCCTAAATAGTATGATATTTTTCGGGCAAACGAACTCATATGAGTTGAGTCAGTCGCCAGGTGTCATTGTATAACTTAGACTTTTTTCATATAACCAACTTTTGACTCAAGATTTTATAATTTTTCGACAGGTTACCTATTCTGTGGTAGGACATCCTGGTACTCGGTCAGGTAGGAGCAACCAAAAGAAGTAAATTCAAACGTATAAACGGTGCAATTTTGGGGTAAAGTGTACTGTTTCCGAAAAAATTTTCGTGTATAGAAAACATATAACAGCTTATTTCCCCCCTAAATTGTACCGATCATAAGCTTGATTTTACTTGTTTAGCTCGCTCTTACTGAACCGAATACCAGGACGTGACTTGTCGTACCACATAGAAGGTAACCTGTCTAAAATATATAAACTACGCAGTCAAAAGTTGTAATATGAAAATAGTCTATTATAGTCCCCTTATAATAATAAGCGTACCCATTGTTATCCCACTGTTCTGTGTAGCCAATGACCTTTGACACCCATTGACGGTCTGTAAAATGAAAATGAAATCAGTACACTTAAGGGAGCTACCATTTGATTTTTAGGGGGGGGGGGGGGGGGAGGCTAGGATGAAATTTGAAAAAAATTAGCAGGACAGGAGTTTTGAGTAAAAAAAAAGGCAGGATGAGCAACTTGGTAAAAAAAAAGGCAGGATGACAATTTGTGTAAAAAAAATCAGGATAAACTAGTAAAAAAAAGGGAAGGACCGAATAGAGTAAAAAATAAAAAGGCAGGACAGAGATTACAACTAAAAAAAAAGCAGGACAGAATTTTTCATCCTAGCCCCCCCCCCATAAAAATCAAATGGTAGCTCCCTAATAGGAATATCAATTTATTACAAGTTCATTGTAAATAATTTATGACAGTAAAACTATGCAATTATTTTAAAACAGCTTACAAAATAAGATCACATATATTGTCATAATATTATTGTATACTCTGTTACTTCTGTTCTCTGATGTCTTTTGTTTGGTTGCCATGTATTGTCTTCGTTTGCCATAGCATGAATACGCCTCTTACAAATAAAGTATTCATTCATTCATTGAATTATTTATTCTGTCCTACAAAGGTATAGATTATGAAACGGAACCGACTTCATGTATTTTGTTCCTGATCGATCTAATTTGTCTCACCAAAAACCACAAAACAGATAATCATGCAACGGCTGACTTGAGTCTTGATGTTCAAGCTTTTGTTCCGTTAAAGGGGTAGTTCTAGTGGTAGTCTCCAACTTTCATTGAGATAAGAGGTTAGCTTCGTGTTGAAGGCATCACTAAGATTTTGAAATGAAGAGTAACAATGAAATACGTTTGTTGGTTTTTTTTTCGTTTTTTTTTTATTTACATTCAGTGATTTTGTGTCATGGAGTGATAAACCATACCTGTTCCTGTTCATTTTCTTGATGAATAATTCGTGTGCAATATATTGTGCTCCTAGTACAAGTATTTCAAATATCGGGCGTTATGACAGTTTATGGACCGTTTGATCATCTCCCCTAAAAAAAATTATAGACAAGAGCTTTGCTTTTGTCCATAAACTTTTTATCAAATGACTGCTCGGTATAAAAACAGCACTATGGCTATAAGTATGAATATTACGTGCTCCTAGTACAAGTATTTCAAATATCGGGCGTTATGACAGTTTATGGACCGTTTGATCATCTCCCCTAAAAAAAACTTATAGACAAAAGCTTTGCTTTGTTTTTGTCCATAAACTTTTTATCAAATGACTGCTCGGTATAAAAACAGCACTATGGCTATTAGTATAAATATTACGGATTTATTAATTATAGATTTCTTAAAATCGAGTAATTAATCTGATATGGATATTTGGAAAAAAAGTACAAACACAAGTGTATAGCAATTCACGTAGGGTAATTCAACATTCCAGCAGTCTTACGTTTTCTTTATAGTGTTTTATAGACTTCGGGGCCTTTCATATCTGATTATGCGGTATGGGCTTTGCTCATTTTTGAAGGCCGTACGGTGACCTATAGTTGTTAATTTCTGTGTCATTTGGTCTCTTGTAGAGAGTTGTCTCATTGGCAATCATACCACATCTTCTTATTTTTATATTGCTCGTCTTTTCGTCGTTTTACGATTTTTGTCACGGCGTTGCCCGGTTTTCTTCGACTTACGAATTTTGAATGTATCCTTGGTATCTTTTGCCTTCTCTGTTCAGAATGTAATGAATGGGTGATATCAACTGTATGAAAAGTTAGTAACAAGGTCTTAATTATAAAAACGCCTCACATTCAACTGAGTAACTTTTTTTTTATCTCCTTAGTTTACAAAAAGTGAAATAACAGAATATCCGTTAAGATCTGAAACGGCGAATTCTGAATAAGTGGGTTAACCATGAGTCTAATGTTTTTTTAAGGCCACTAGCCCGTGATATATGTTTATTTAGGTTTAAATTACAACTGTGCATTTAGTCGGCTATGGACCCCTCATCAAGAGCATCGAACTCCGACAGGAATCTAATAAGTGAAATGCGCCATAAAAGAAAATAATGGTCGGATTGAGTCATTTCGCATTTTTACAATTTTGCGTTTTCGCCATTTATATCTAGTTAGGTAAATTTCGCAAAATAAAAAAAAAAAATTGTTTCGGGTTTTTGCGTTTACGAGTTTGCATCTTTCGAATTCGCAGTTTCAGAATCTAAATGACTTGGTGTAATTTCATTGTAACTCATGACGTAAATAGAGGAATGACGTAATAATATATAAAAAATAGTTAACACCAGTTCAATCGTTAAGAAAAAACCCTCATCTGACAATAATGCGTTTTTGTAATTTTACAATTTTTGCCAAAAGTTAAAAAGTGTTATTTTTTTTTTTTACTTATGGAAAAAGCTTTTTTGTTTAATATACATAATTATATTTATTCCTAATTCATATTAAAGAATTTTTAAAGCAAATAATAATGTACAAAGTTTAACATAATCTGAAAACTTATTTGTTAATTGGCTTGAATTACACTTCTAATATATTCTAAGTTTCAACATTGATATATTCTTGATTTTCCTTTTTTTATCAACCTTAAGAAAGGACACCTTTGTTTTTAAATTTTTTTGGCCTCCAAACATTTAAGTGTTTGAGGCAAAATTTCATATCTACAAAATATGCTTCGGTCTGAGATTTTCCCTTGACATTAACAAGTGACCGAACAACGACAAAACATAAAGTACAGTTTTTAAATATCTTTTACAAAAATTCTGACGCAACGATGAAATTGAGAAAAATTGACAGTAACAAGATCTATATATGAAAAAATGTCTATTGACCAATTTAGTCCATTCTCATAACAAATGAAAACATTAATTGACAAAATCTTTGAAATTTAAATTGCATCTTAATATGAACATTTTATATCTATATGAAGATCAATTAAAAGTGTTTCGAAGGAAAACTTAAAATTACTTTATTGATTGTTTGCAGGTAAAATAATGTCGCCTGCATTAGCAACACAAAAAAAAAATGTTATACGTACAAAACTGTACTGGATATTGTGTCAGTCTGACAGATCCGCTCGATTGCTTTCCCGGCGGGTTACAGCAGCCAGAAGTATCAATATAGCACTCTGATTTTATTGAATCATAGAAAGATACACAGAGACCACTTTCAACAAGTAATCGAGCACACCGGAAAGCAGATACAGTTTTAGTAATATTGAACACTGATGAATTTTCAATAAAACCAGTGTTTTTGACAACCGAAAATTTTCCACACTTAATTTCTGTTAGCCCACATGAAATTTTCAAAGAGATAGTTACTATTAAAAGATGTTCGTATAGACGAATCCTGCTATTAAAACTTTTGGTCTGCACCTGCTTGTTAATGATCATGATTAGAGTTTGAATATCAAAAAAGGAAATAGATTTTCTAAGACGAAGGATGGTCTTTTAAATGTGATTACAAAGTCAACAAATATTATACTCGAAATCAATTGCAAAATCTTTAGGACTATATCTTTATTATTTAAACAAAAATGAACAGATCGAAGGCGATGTTTGATAATTTTAACGCCAAAGTAAACAAGAGGAATAGAAAATCGTTTGTTTATGAATTCCAAGGTAACACTTTGATTCAACAGAATACAAATGTTATTAGATAAATTTTGAAAATACATGTTAATAGAAAAGGACAAGGTACGATAAGGCCCGTTTTTGGCCCCCCTATTTTCTCATTTTTTAAATTTTGTTTTGGAAAGCTACTTATCACGTTAAAATATTTACTTAGGTTTGAAGTTTGTTTGGATGAACTTCAGAACCATTAATTTTAGAAAATGGGTGAGGTGAGGGGGGTAAAAGGGCATCAAAAACGCCAAAAGAAGGAAAAATTACAATTTTTGGCCATTGTTTCTTAAAATTTAATAGCGTGCGCCTACGTGACCCGGAGAATATTATGGCCATTTAGACAGAAAAAACAGTTCTCATGACATTGGAATAAAAAAGTTCCTGGGTCACGTTGGCGCAGGCACTAAAAATCTAAAAATTCGTTGTACAAAACACCTGCAAAGTGAATAATAATTACAATATTTGCATAATAGCAGAAAGTGTACCCCCATCACCTCACCCAGTTGCTAAAATTAGTGGTTTTGAAGTTCATCCAAACAAACTTCAAACCTCAGGGAATATTTTAACACAATAAGTAGATTTCCAAAACAGAATTTGAAAAATGAGAAAATAGGGGGGCCAAAAACAGGCCTTATCGTACCTTGTCCTTTATACAAGAATGTTTAATTGGAAGAATGCAAAAAAAAATGAGGAAAAGTCCGAAAAATTTAGAAAACTTACATAGGAAAGATAAATGACGAGTAGTGTTTGGGGAAAGGATAAAGAGAGAAATTAGGAACTTCGGAGCCAACAAGGAACATTCATTAACAGTACTCTGAAATCAAGGCATATTCATTAGCAGTATGGCAACCAACAAGGAATATTCATTAACAGTACACTACAATCATGACAATCAAGCAATCAAGGAATATTCATTCACAATATACCAACCAACAAGGAACATTCATTAACAGTACACTGCAATCAAGAAACATTCATTAACAGTATACCGACCAACAAGGGACATTCATTAACAGTACACTAGAATCAAGGAATATTCATTCACAATATATACCAACCAACAAGAAACATTCATTAACAGTACACTGCAATCAAGAAACATTCATTAACAGTATACCGACCAACAAGGGACATTCATTAACAGTACACTGCAATCAAGGAATATTCATTCACAATATACCAACCAACAAGGAACATTCATTACCAGTACACTGCAATCAAGGAATATTCATTCACAATATTATATATACCAACCAACAAGGAACATTCATTAACAGTATATGACCAACAAAGGAAATTCATTAACAGTACACTACAATCAAGGAATATTCATTCACAATATTATATATACCAACCAGTAGGAACATTCATTAACAGTATATGACCAACAAAGGAAATTCATTAACAGTACACTACAATCAAGGAATATTCATTCACAATATTATATATACCAACCAACAAGGAACATTCATTAACAGTACACTGCAATCAAGGAATATTCATTCACAATATACCAACCAACAAGGAACATTCATTAACAGTACACTACAATCAAGGAATATTCATTCACAATATACCAACCAACAAGGGACATTCATTAACAGTACACTACAATCAAGGAATATTCATTCACAATATACCAACCAACAAGGGACATTCATTAACAGTACACTACAATCAACAAACATTCATTAACAGTATACCGACCAACAAGGGACATTCATTAACAGTACACTGCAATCAACAAACATTCATTAACAGTATACCGACCAACAAGGGACATTCATTAACAGTACACTGCAATCAACAAACAATCATTAACAGTATACCGACCAACAAGGGACATTCATTAACAGTACACTGCAATCAACAAATAATCATTAACAGTATACAGACCAACAAATCATTTAAAGTGCAATGCAAACAAATAAGGAACATCCATTAACAGTATACCGACTAACAAGGAATATACATTAAAAAGTAAAATCACAAAAATACTGAACTCTAAGGAAAATTCAAAAAGGAAAGTCCCCAATCAAATGGCAAAATCAAAAGTTCAAACACATCAAACGAATGGATAA